GGGCAGTGTTTCGTTCTGCTGTGCATGGGGTCACTATGAGTCGGAAACGACTCGACGGCACTTAACAACAACAACAACAAACATAAACTACAGTTAAGTTGCCTTTAACTGTGAAATGAGCCCTTTTGTCTAAATGCCTCCTACCCTGGAGGAACACTTTTATTTTTCACTTTGGTGGCTGTGGTTCACTCAAACCTACCATCATCGAGTCAATTCTGACTCATAGTGACTCTACAGAGTAGAATTGACCTATAGGGTTTCCAAGATTGTAAGCTTTACAGAAGCAGACTGCTTCACCTTTCCCCTGCAGAGCCACTGATGGGTTCAAAGCATTAACCTTTTGGTTCACAGCCGACAGGTTGTATCCTGTCTCCACACTTATTCAATCTATATGCTGAGCAAATAGATATAGTCCACAGCTTTAACCACTGTGCCACCAGAGCTCCGTGCCACTGGTTAAGGTTGTGGTTAGGCACTCTAAATATTAAACAGCCTGCTTTCTTTTCAACTCACCTATAAACCGTTCCACTCCCTGGGCCTCCACAAACAACTCCTACCAGCCAACTTTTTCAAGTGTGCTCCCTCTTGAGAGCCTCATCATCCTGCCCACAGCCTGTTCCTCTCGGATGTGTGCTGCCCTGTGTCTCCCTGCTTTGTCTCTCTCTCTGCTGTGTCTCTAACACACGGTGCTCCATCTCTCTCTGCTGTGTCTCTAACATGCGGTGCTCCATCTCTCTTTGCTGTGTCTCTCTGCATCTCTGGTGCCCAGGTGCCCACCTCTCTCTGCTGTGTCTCTCTGCTTGTGTCTCTGACAGCCAGGTACCCCATTCTCTCTCTGCTGTGTCTCTAACACGCGGTGCTCCATCTCTCTCTGCTGTGTCTCTAACACACAGTGCCCCGTCTCTCTGTGCTGTGTCTCTAACACACGGGGCTCTGTCTCTCTCTGCTGTGTCTCTAACACGCAGTGCCCCGTCTCTCTGTGCTGTGTCTCTAACACGCGGTGCTCTGTCTCTCTCTGCTGTGTCTCTCTGCTTGTGTCTCTGACAGCCAGGTACCCCATTCTCTCTCTGCTGTGTCTCTCTGCGTCTCTGATGCCCAGGTGCCCATCTCTCTCTGCTGTGTCTATGGCGTGTGGTGCCCCATCTCTCTCTGCATTTCTGATGTCCAGGTGCCCATCTCTTTCTGCTCTGTGTTCCCTCAGAGAGCCTCCAACATGCTATTGGCAAGGCACCATGGAACACTTGAGGTTGGTCATTCCCTCCCACCTCTCACTGAATAAGTCCCAGAAGTGAGATGACACCCTCGCTGTGAGCCAAGCTGCCTATGTCGTACGGCCTGAGCACCAGGCACTGGCTCCTGCCCAGTGCCACCAGGTGTGCTCCAAGTGCTATGGCACAGTGCACCAGGGCTGGCAAAGGGCGGTGGGCACCAGAAGGGGAGGAACCCCTCTGGGCCTTGTCCCAGCTGCGGCTGGACACCTGCCCCATGGACCTGTCCTCAGGCCTGCCCAGTCCAGCCTTACCCTCCACGGGAAATACTGGTCCTCCAGGCGGCCGATTCCCAGGCACCCTCGGATGTTCTTGCCCCACACGAATAGCTCTCCCTTGTCTGCAGAGAAAGGAGACAGGCTCAGTCAGAGCCAGTGTCTAGGAAGAGGAAGGATCCTCAGACTAGGCTTCCTGGAACCAGGTGATGACAGCCCCCCATCAGCTCAACGTTTCACCAGGCACTGATGCGTTCTTCTGAAGGGAAAGGAAAGTGGATGAGATAATGCTCTTAAACCAACAGTGTCCAAAGCCAGGCTGACACTGTGCTCACTGCAGGGAGACGAGTACATGCAGGGGATGTGCCCACAGGGGCTACTGCGCCCAGGGCCCCTAGCTCGCCACTCACCCAGGCCCTCTGCCCAGTCAGCTCCAACCAAACGTTTCCCTCCACAAACCCTGAAATCTGAGTATCCTCAAACCCGGCCACACCCCAGGCTTTCTGGGTGGGCACACCAAGAAGTAGGGCCATTTGCCATCCTTGTTTGGGGGCCCATAACTAGGGAGCACTTGGTCAAGTGACGCATGGTGACTGAGTGCCTATTTGTGCCAAGTCTGTATCCCTGTGCCAGAGGCTGGGGGCAGGACAATGACTGACAGACATGGATCCTGTCCTCCTGGAGCTCAATCGAGTCAAAGAGCTGGAAATAAACAAATGACTAGATCAATAAACACATAATTACAAACTGTGAAAAAGTGCTGTGAAGGAAAAGAACAGGGTGCAATAGGTGTATACCCTAGGGGACCAGGTCTAGATTGGGCTCTGGAAATGCCTGCCTCCAGGAAGGAGCCCCGGGCCTAATCAGAGAGCCGTGTATAACCCAGTTTTCAGTCCTATCGGCTTGGCCACCTCTGCACGTCTGGCCAAAGTCTTGGTCATGGGAAAAGAAGAGATGACAAGGAGAGGCCAGGACTGAGATGCTCTCATGGATTAAAGCGGCAGCCTTGTGACCAGCCTCTCCGGTCTGGCCCTCTCCTCCAGAGTTTATGTGATTAACAAATAATTCAACCCGTTGCCAGAAGAACATTTTTAATTGCAAGAAAATGGTTAACTTATTTGAGAATCACAAATGAATCTGTACTGTTACATCTTTCACGTCAACTAAGAGTGGCAAATTGAATCAAGAAGTGCTTTGGAGGACAAGAAATGGGGTCAAGAGGAACAGGGGAGCTGACCACCTCAGGCTCATAAGTGAGACTGAGAGAGGGGAGCCAGCCACCTCAGACTCGTGAGTGAGACTGAGAGAGGGGAGCGGGCCGCCTCGGGCGCGTGAGTGAGACTGAGAGAGGGGAGCCAGCCGCCTCAGGCGCGTGAGTGAGACTGAGAGAGGGGAGCGGGCCGCCTCGGGCGCATGAGTGAGACTGGGAGCAGGGGAGCTGGCCGCCTCAGGCCTTCATAATCTGGCAGAGCTCTCTCAGTCTTCCCTTTGATCATCTCACCCCTCCATTTGGAGAAATTCAGGAGACATGTCTCCATAAACCCACAGGACAGCCTTGCAAATCTCCGTCTTGTCAGCCCACATTCCTGGCTCAAGTCAGGGTGCTAGTGGCCAGGGAACAGAATTAAACCCCACACAGCCATTTCCTAATGACCCACCGTGGACTTGCCAAACCTTGGCTGGCTTCCACCACCACCTGACATACTCGGGGTCCCCTTGAGAAAATCACTTTAACATTAGCAGAGCCACCAGTCACATGAACCAAAAACACAGCTCCAGGCTGAGCAGCAGCCTCACACTCCGCAGCCCCAAACCAAGTAACTGCTGCACTGGCCACTCCCTCTGCTCATCCTGGCAAAGGTGCCACACCACGGCGGGGAGGGAGACCTGAGGAGATGACCCCTCACCAGGGTCTGGGCTTGGTCACTTACTGGTAAGTGCAGCAAAGTGGCTGAGTCCACATCGAATGCGGGAAACCTGGACGTCTGGGTTGAACTCCGTCAAGCCAAAGAGAGTGGGTGGAATCATCTCTGGAAGAGCACTTTCCACTAGGTTTGGACCTTTCCCAAGAATTCCATAGCCCCAGACAAAAACACGTCCTTCTCCTGCATGACGGTAAAACCATGGTCAGAGCATCAGCCCAAGAGCAGCCCCCCTGCCAGAGATTCAAACCACCACGAAGTCCCAACTCCCACACAGCTATTCACTGCTCGCTCGGCAGGAAGGGCTAACGTTTAGAAGATGCTGCTGCTTTCTTCTGCTCCAGTTCCTGCTGTGGAGCACATCCAGCACTAACCAACCTCAGAACATGACCTTCCCACATCTTGAGGGTAGCCCGGATGGGACCGTCCACCACGTGAACACGGGACCCTTAGAAAGATAATCTCTAAGCTTCACAGTACCCAGGCAACCGAGCCAAGTACTTCAATGACTTCTGGCCAGATTCTTAAAACTCTCAGAAATGAGTTTTTGGTTGTAAGAAGTGCCAGATGTTTCATCCCAGGGCACAGACCTTGGGATACAGACTCCACGGCTCGTCTCCCTTCTGCTTCCTTGGCATGGCCTCACTGGAGGAGACAGGCGAGAGGGTTTGGCCCAGGCCTAGGGGAGGGAGTAAGCGGCCCATACTCCGCTCCAGAGGTCTGCTCTACAATGACTAAGCTTGGCTGCCGTCTACACGTGAATCACAGGCTGTTCTCCTCTTTCGGTCAAGAATTTCACTCTCACCCTCTAATAACTGAATTCAGTCCAACAGGCTCTTCCCATGGCCACATTCCCTTCCTTCTGCTGAGGTTCACAGCCCACAAATCCAATGGCCATTGACTGTGTCCCTGTCCAACCCACCAAAGCTTCTCAATGAATTGCTTGGAAGGAGTTCTCACCATTCAATACAGCACAGCCGGTACCACCACATGCGGCCTGCATCACCTTGCCCACTCCTGAGAAGGGCAGGCACCGGGGGACATTCACCTGCAGAAAACAGAGTCCACGCTGTTAGGAGAACCAAATCAACAAGGACTCAGGAGTATCCCAGTCTCTTATTCAAAGTCGATGAGTCCCAGTTCATTCATTCACTCCACAAAAAAATTCCTGAACATCCAACACATGCTTAATTTGTAACTAGGTGCTAGGGGTACAATGAGGAGTAAGAGACCTAGTTCCCGCCCTCAGAGAGGGCTAGCCTAGCGGATGAGGCAGATGCCAAACAAAAAGGCGTAAGACCACATTTGTGCTAAATCCAATGAAGGAAAGTACCAGGGTTTCTGAGAGTGTACAACAGGGAACTGGATCTAGTTTGCAGGGAGGAACATTTGAGGAAGGCTTCGTTTTGTCCTGAGATCTAAAGGACAAGGAGTTAATGAGGCAAAAGGAAAAGAGAAGAGAGTTCTATTTCAAGGAGCTGGCGTGTGCAAAGGGAGTAAGGTGAGGGCATGGCACAGCCAAGGGGTGTCAAGAAGGTCAGACTGGCAGAAGCAGAGAGAACAAGGGGGAAAAGGTACAAGCTGACAGGGAGAGAAGAGTGGCCAGAAGCCGCAGGACGTATGCGGGCCACGGCGAGGATGTGGTCTTTATCCTTACTGTAACGGGAAGCCACGATCACAGACATGCTCAGGTCGGAGGGACAGGTAACAGAGGAGAAGGATAAGGGCTGCAGGGGATGAACATGAAACTTGCAGTGCCTGGAGACAGACTAACAGTAATGTCAAGTGGTACTTAAGAGGTATCTGGAACTCTCAAGTTTGGGCCTGAGATGCAAGTTGGAGAGTGTGGTAAAATGAATTTTTTTATGGGGCTTTTTTGTTTTGGTTCTATGAGAAACAGAGAATGAGAAGACAGCTCAGGAGATTTCTCCCTGGGCCCTAAGGAGTTGCTACAGTTGTCCTAACCAGACTCACTGCCACTGAGTCAGTTCCAACTCATAGCAACATGCGCTAGGTTTCCAAGGCTGTAAATCTTTACGGAAGCAGACTGCTTCATCTTTCTTTCATGGAGCAGCTGGTGGATTTGAATCACCAACTTTTTGTAGGAACCAAATGCCTTAACCACGACACCACCAGGGCTCCCAGAGTTGTCCTGTTGTTGTTGTTGTTATGTGCCGTCGAGTCAGACCCGACTCATAGCGACCCCTCCTTGGGTTTCTGAGGCAGTATCACTATGGAAGTAGATTGCCCCATCTTCCTTCCAAAGAGTGGCTGGTGGGTTTGAACTGCCAGCCTTCTGGTTAGCAGTCAAGTGCCTTAGGCACTACGCTACCCTAGTCCTTTGAAAAAGCTGTTACTTTTTTTGCTCAGATAAGAAGCCAGTCCCTGCCAGCAGAAAATGTCAGTCATTACGCAAATAGGATGCATAAAATCTACCCAATAGGATTGAGCCACTTGCCTATATAAGCACCCATCCCACAAAGGGGGACCTTACTACCATCAGGGAGAGCCTGGAGTGGAACATGTCCTTTGGACCTGGGGTTCCTGTGTTGAGAACCTCCTAGACCCAGGAGAAGGATGGAGCTGTAATACTGGAGCAGCTGCAGCAGAACCAGGAGACCAGCATGAGTCGAGGTGGTGTGCTTCTTGGCCCACGAAGCAAGGTGGCCATAGTGGGCTTGCCAATTCAAGGAGCAAAAGAGCTGAGTGCCTTTGGGTAGGAGGCTTGCTGGCAGAGTGGGGTACCTCCAGGCACTGCTGGAGAAGCTAAAGGGGCCTGCCAACCCACAGAGCAAGAGCTGAGGGCCTTCAGGCAGGAGACTTGCTGGCAGAGTCGGGTGCTTCTGGGCATTTATTGGTGTAGCTAGAAGAGCTCTAACACTTGCCTGAGCAGGCGCCTGGTTGCAGCAGCCAAAAAAACCTGTCCTGATCAAAGAACTGTATCCTGAGTTATTTCCAAGTTAATCCTGATCCCATGTCACTTCCCTAATAAACCATTTAACTGTGAGTCTGGTCTGTGAGTTCTGTGTGGCCACTGCAACAAATTACTGAACCCAGCAGAGAAGCAGAGAGTGCTGTGGGCAGGACGGCTGTTGTGAGAACTGGTGAAAAGTTTGGAGGGGGAGGGATATCTGTCCTCCACATCACAAGAACCAGCTTTGCGCTGATGCTCATTCTCATTCTTCCTGAAGTCAAACAAGGTCCAACACTACTCATATAGAGGATCATTAGCATTCAGAGCGTAACTGAAGCCAAGGGTGTGGAGAAGCTCTTCTAAGACCAAGGCTCGACGGTCTTCAACATTTAAAGGCCTTGCTATAGAGAACCAGGAAATGAGATCGTGAAGAAACAACTAGACAGGCAAGAGAGTACCAGGAGAATGCAGCCACAGGGCAAAAGGAAGTGTCTTCCCAAAGATGTCAACATGTCATGGTCAATGTCAATATCAATGCTGCTGACAGGTCAAGAAAGATGAGTACTGGGGAATGTTCTCTAGGTTGTTATTATTATTTTTAACAACATGGAAGTGACAGAAACCCTAGCAAGAGCCATCCAGCAAACGGACATGGACAAAGGCTAAGTGGAATGGGCTAAATAAGTAGGAGACGCGATAAGCCAGCAGACAAATGCGGTTCTTGAGAAGTCTGACCTAGAAGAGAAGGCAAGAGAAAAGGTGAGGGGGCACAGGCAGGAGGAGAAAGAGGATTCTAGGAAAGGATTTTTAAGATGGGAGACACATGAATCAGGTGCACAGAGTGACAGAGAGGAACCAGTAAAGAGGGAGAGGTTGAACTTACAGGAGAGAAATCCCAGCAGATGGAACAAGGTTTCTGAGAAGGTGGAAGCAATGGGACCCAGGGCACAGAGAGAAGAATCAGCCTCCTCAGGAAGAGGTCCCTCCTCCACTGTGACAAAGGGATGTGTCCTGGGAAGGTACCAACATAGGTGAGTGTGTGGGATTCCTCGTGGGACAATGAGTGTTCCCATCTGATAGCCTCAGTTTCTCCAATAGCCTCAATCCTCGGCTGCCAGTGAGAGAGGAGGGCCAGCACTTCCAAGAGTGAAGTGTCACCAAGCTGTCACCAAGCTGGCCTTCCACACAGTGGCAGTGGCCGTGGTACCTTTACTAAGGACTAACTTCAGAAGACAGATCACAAGTGCTTCAGTGACAGACATGAGTCTGTTTTTCACTTTCAAATGGAGACAGCTAGAAGATAATGGTCCCAGAGTCCACTCAAAGGAATCAGAGGGAGTGTATGGCTGGGTGGAGCTAGGCTGTCAGAGCTGAGCTGGGCCTCCACTGGCCTCTCAGAGAACATCTTGACCCGACTCTGCACTGGGACAATGCCCTCGGCAAGTGCTGAGAAATGCTCAGCAAACAGCTGAAACCCACCACTGTCATCACTGACAGGATGAGACTGAGGGCACCACCCATGACGAGGGTAGGCTGCTTCCAAGATGGCACCCGCACCCTGATGTGTGTGACCTGGACCTAGTGACCTGCTTCAAATGAATAGAATACTAGCAAGTGATGGGATGCCCCTTCTGAAATCAGATTTTTCAAATCCGGTTTGTGTCCTTCTGGCACTTTCTCTGGGCTTCTCACTTGCTCTGAGGGCCTGCCATACTGTAAGCTGCCCTATGAAGAGGCTCATATGGTAAGGAACCAAGGAAAGCCTGGCCAACCGTTGGCTGGCCAAGAGTCAGTGAGGGACCGAGGCCAAGAGTCCAACAGTCCTCAAGGAACTGATCATGCTAACAACTGTGTGAGCTGAGAAGTGAGTCCATCCCAGCTGAACCTGACTGCAGCCTCCTGAGAGTCCCAGAACCAGAAGACCTAGCTAAGCCATGTCTAGATTTCCGACTCACAGAAACTGAGTGGTAGTAAATGTGTCTTTCTTCAAGCTTCTAAATTTTGGCATCATTTGTAAGGCAGCGATAGATAACAATGACAGGACACTGACTCCGTCCCCCACAGGAAGCCCACAGAAGATATTCTCTCTGGCCTTGTTGTTTAGCTTATGGAATCAAAGAGTTATTTAAAGGATGTGCTTTCTTCTTTGTTCTAGCTGCTAGGGAGCTCAGAGCCAAATCTGCAACCACTTCTAGCAACTGTATCAGAATACAAAGAATGCATTTTTTCATATTTTCTGACCTTTAGTTTCCCCTTGCTCAGTTTTATCTATTAATTTTTGTATTCTTCTGTATCTTGTCAGAAGTTTGACAAGGAATGTAGTATGTTTTTTAAATAGTCTTTATGTTTTAGAGATACACGCTAAAAATTTTTATGAATGAAATATATCCAGGGTTTGATTCAAAAACCCCAGACATTCCTATAAGCGACGAGCATCTCTCTCCGGGGAAGACAAGACGGGCAGACATGTCAGCAGCTTCATGAGAGCCTGTTGCTGTTTGGTGCCATCTAGACGGTTCCAACTTATAGCGGACCCTGTGGTCAACAGAACAAAACACTGCCTGCCCCTGTGCCAACCTCACAGTTGTTGCTACATTTGAGCCCAGTGTTGTAGTCACCGTGTTAATCCATCTCACTGAGGGTCTTCCTCTTTTTTCTTGGCCATCCCTTTTACCAAGCATGATGTCCTTGTCCAGGGACTGGTCCCTTCTGATGACATGCCCAAAGTACACGAGACAGCCTTACCATCCTCGCTTCTAAGGAACATTCTGGCTGTATCTCTTCCAAGACAGATTTGTTTGTTCTTGTAGCAGTCCCTGGTATATTCGATACGCCTCACCAACACTGTGACTCTCAGGCACCAATCCCTCAGTCGTCCTTATTCATTGTCCAGTTCTCGCACGTGTATGAGGCGACTGAAAATACCTCAGCTTGGTCAGGCGCATCTTCATTCTCAGGGTGACAGCTTGGCTTTTTATTCTTTTTTTTATTTTAACATTTTAAAGACTATTTTTTTTTGCAACAGACTTCCCAATAACAGTATGTCACTTGACTTCTGCTTCATTGGCATTGATTGTGGATCCAAGCAAAATAAAATCCTTGACAACTTTAATCCTTTCTCCATTTGTCATGATGTGCTTGTTGTTGTTGTTGTTGTTGTTATGTGCCGTCGAGTCAAACCCGACTCATAGAGACCCCTCCTTGGGTTTCCGAGGCAGTATCACTACGGAAGTAGGATTGCCCAACCTTCCTTCCGAGGAGTGGCTGGTGGGTTTGAACCGCCAGCCGTCTGGTTAGCAGGCAAGTGTCTTAGCCACTATGCTACCAGAGCTCCTGTAGAGGTGTAATCCATACTGAAGGCTGAAGTCTGATCTTCACTAGGAAGTGCTTCAAGTCCTCTTCACATTCAGCAATCAAGGTTGTTCTGAGGCCCCCTAATCACAAAGGTCCTTCTTGGGGTTTAGCCCGTTGTACATGCAGGCAAAGGTCTGGCCCAGGGCACCCTGGGCCATGAGGAACCGACACACAGTACTGTCTGGCTGCTGCTTTTTGCTGAGTAATACATCACCCATTTTTCTGGGAAGGAGGAAAAAGTCCAGAGCAGAAAAGTGGATGGAATTATAGACGAAGAAAAACTGGCCACTGGGGTATATGAGTTTGTTTGTTTGTTTGTTTGGGAGGGGGCTGATGAAATGTTCTGGAATTAGATCATGGTGCGGTTGCACAACTTCATGGATATACAAAAAACTGCTGTGGACTTTAAAACAGTGGAGTTACAGTATGTGAATGATATCTCCTTGAAAAACCTGGCCATTAGTTAACTGTTGAAGCTGGATAACCAGTAAAGGGGATAATTATACAACTGTCTCTACTTTCCTTTATATTGGAAATATAATATATAATATGAAATGTCAACAATCCCATTGTACTGATAGTGGTTCCCTTGGTGACAAAGGGGTAGAGGTGGGGGTAGAGGACACAGGTAGGACGTGTGAAGGACTGCCAGTTACTGCTTGATCTGGGCTGCATAGGCCACTTTGATGAGCTGTACACTTAGGATTGCATCCTTTCAGTACATAAGTTATAAAAAGTATAATACAATATCCGAGATACAGATGTTAACAGACTCACATCCCTTCTGGAACAAGATGGGGCACAGAAACACACCAAAATATTGATCTAACCCAGAAGGAGCTCATCTAAGTACTGGTAACGATGGCCTCTGAGCCTAAGCTGTCTTTCTAGGCTCCAGAGATCACCGAGGACCCAGTACCCTGAGGGGCAGTCCACCAACAGGCTGGGCACTAACCAGCCCCCTCTATATCACTCCTTGGGGAAGAGCTTCTTATAAGTGTCCTTAACATTTTCTCTTTCCAAACCCCCCAGCACCAGGATGCAGGTCACTGAGTACCTGTGTGGAATCAGTGACAGAGGCCAGCTGCAGGTACTCGGAGTTCCCCCAGCCAAAGACGTCTCCATCCGCAGACACGGCCAGGCAGGAATCCCCATAGGTGGCCACCTGGACAACATGCACTCCAGCAAGGTCTCCAGCCAGCTTGGTGGGCACGCTGCTGATGTTGTAGTGACCAAGACCTGGCACAATGGAAAATACTTATTGTAATGGTTTATCTCATCAGCTAACACTCACACAGCCTGACTGTGCCCAGCACTGAGGCAGGCACTTTAGACCACCCGCTCGGAAATCCCAACTGGTTCCTCTGCATGCTCATATGGCTTCCTTCTCCGTTCTCTTGGGGGAAAAAGGCGACGTACTTAATACTTTAATAACTGGCATATTATTAAAACCTCTGGAATTTCCCAGATCTGATTCAAGTTAGAAGACTTTGCAAGATGGAATACCACTATACAACGAACCCATGAGAACCTAAATGACAACAAGCGATTTTTAACGCACTGCAGGGACTCCTAGAACATGAAGGAAATCTCCGAAAGCTCACCCAGCCTGCCACCCCACCCCACGCCCCAGAAGAACAGAAACTGACAGTGAACTAGGAGTGGTGTGGGGAATAGAAAGCCAAGGTCAACCAGAGGGCTGGCCCTGAGAACAAGTATCACTGGAGGCCACTCTCTGGGCAGCAGGGAAGGGCAGGACACCGAACCGTGGACTCCCGCTTTGAGCCAGGATTCCTCAGAGAGGGTCACCGTGCTATCACCCCTTAGCCACAAGCAAGATCCAAATCTTCTCTGGAGGAAAACATTGCTAATTTAGGCCCTCAGTGTTCCCACAGATTAATTTCAATCAAACAGGAGGTCATAATCAAAAATTACAAAACACACAAAGAAAAATACTGCTATGAGAGAGTCAATAGAATCAACAATCAACCAAGTTACTCTCCAGTTTTCAAGTACACAAAACAAAACAAACTGCTGTATGCAAAACAAAAGTGGTAACAAGAAAATATCAAAATACCCAAGCAAACTGGAAAGGAAAACAATCAGAGATGAAAACTACAGTTGGTAAAATTAAAACCTCAAATGGACAAAAAGCTTCACACAAGCAGGGAAAGCCCTGCTACAAGTGATAAAAGACACATGTATAAAATACATGAAGAATCCCCAAGCTCAGCAAGGAACAGACAAGTCAACATAAAAACAGGCACAGACACCAGAAGTATTTCAGAGAAAAAACAAATAAACAAAAAGAAAGTCAAGCTCGTTAGTTTAGGAAAATGCAAATTACAACCAGAAGAAGGTACCATCTCACACACCACTGACAGAGAAAATTTAAAGTGGATGATCCAAGCCTTGGACAGGCTGTGGCACATGGGTCACTCGTTACAACTGTTTTGGAAATAGTAACGTGAGTATGTGGGCAGATCCCATACCCCCAGCAATTCCACTAGGAATCTTCACTAGGCAAACTCGTGAACATGTATACGAAGAGACAGATACAAATGGACACACAGATGGTCACTGCTTGTTACAGAAGACAGCTGTTAACCAGTCAAATGTCTATCAACGAGTGGGTAAACTGAGATACAGTCTCACGGTGGAGTATCATACAGACGTAAATGAGTCAACTGCAGACACATAACAACATGGGTCAATCTGAACACACACAATGTTGAGTGTAAAGCAAGTCATTGAAGACTACATATAACATGATGCCTAAAATAAGCAAAACTAATCAATACAACGTTTAGAAATGTGTGTAAATATAGAGACATGCCTCAGAGACACTGTGGGGTCGGTTCCAGATCACCACCATAAAGTGAATATTGCAATAAAGCAAGTCACACGAAGTTTTTGGTTTCCCAGTGCACATAAAAGTTATGTTTAGACTATACTGTAATCCATTAAGTGCACGACAGCATGATGGAACAGTCTGAAATACTTTCAGAATTAGCAAAATGTGACAGAGACACCAAGTGAGCACATGCTGCAGACTTGCTTGATGCAGGGCTGCCACAAACCATCTATTCCTAAAATGCACAGGATCTGAGAAGCGCAATAAAGCAAAGCAAGATCAAAGGAGGTACGCCCACACACACACACACATAGTTCCCTCTCACAGAAAGAATAAAGATAAGTTCTGGTGGTGTAATGCCTAAGGCATTTGCCTGCTAACCAGAAGGCTGGTGATTCAAACCCATCAGCCACTCCTCAGAAGGAAGACTGGGCAAACTACTTCTATAAAGATTTACCACCTCCGAAACCCAAGGAGGGGTTGTTGCTAAGAGTCAAATCGACTTCACAGCAGTGAGTTTGGTTGTTTTGGTTTTGGACCCATTCCTGGGAATTTATTCTAGGGAGATAATCCCGATGAAAGAAAAGCTGTATGTGTATACGTTATAACTATGTGTATATATAACTGTGTATGTGCACATGATAACTGTGTGTATATAACTATGTGGACATAACTGTATACATACAAAATTGCATGTGGATGCTTGATAACTGTATGTATGTACATCCTAACTGTATGTGCATGTATAACTGTATGTGTATACACGGTAACTGTATTGTATACATGATAACTGTATGTGTAATATGGTAACTGTGATAGCATCTTCATGTGCTTTCTCCGTCCCCAAAAACATGCCTAATGACAGTAGGTAAATTAACTTAGTGCCAAATCACACAAACAGTAAAAACTGCAATTCTGAAAATTGCAGCAACATGAGAAAACATTCTATGTAAATTTAAACAATAAAGTAAGATACTAGGTTGCAGCCATGCTATCGTTGCACCAACATGAAAGACACACACATGAACAAGGATTAGAAGAGAACATAAGACAATGAACGACAGTGACTGGAAAGCAGCGGCTGGATTAGCAAGGCTTTCACCTGCTTTTCCTTGTTGTTCTTGCTGTGTTGACAGTACCCTCCTTAAAAAGGGAAATTCAGTAGGTCACAATCAAAGGCCTTCCTTCCAGATAAATATCCAAACCACAAAGATTACATCAGTAAGCTGATGAACTTGCCCCTCATTCCTCCTCTCCTTAATCTCATCCTTCTCAAATCAGCTACGATTAAGCTCCTTTTAGTGGCATTTGTTTCTTCTTTAAAAGGCTCCGTGTCCTCTCTGCTGAGAAGGAGGCTTGGGCCTCCTTTGTGGAGTTACTGGTTCATGTCGTGGGAGCTGGGAGGAGGGAGCTGGGAAGGATCCCAGGAAGTGACTGAGAGTGCTAAGAGCCAACTCAAGAAAGGCGGAGTCTGGCCCATGAAAGGCCTATGGCTCACAGCCCTGCACTACGCGGGCCAAGACCTCACACTATGTCAAAGGGGTGACTGCATGCTACCTGTCTGCCCGTCCGCACCCCAGCCACAGGAATAGACTTCTCCTTTATCCGTCAGGAACAGACTGTGGTCCTGACCGCAGGCAACCTATGGGATGAACAGAGAAGAAAAGAAACACTGAACCCCAGTGTCCTGGTCAGTGGCTCCCAAGGAGCCCGCCCCACTGCCGCCCCCTCAGGACCTGAACACAGGGAGGGCCACTACAGCCCTGCTTCAGTCACCCACCCACTGAAACTGCTGAGGGGCAGGGTCACGTGGAGCAAACCCAAAACTCCTCCATCCCAGCACCGCCGAAGAACAGAACACTTTCTCTGCCCCGTTCCTCTGGTCTCCGTCTCTAGTGGCTTCCAGTTTTTATTCCCAGCTCATCCTCTGCCCCATTCCCTTTCAGTGTTGAAATCCTTCTCCAAGGTTCTGTCTTCCACCCTCTCCCCTCATTCTTCACTTCCCTGGCCGATGGCACCCACCCCCCAGGCTGTGGCTGTCACCTCTGCACTATTCTTTCCAGCCCCAACAACTGTACCGAGTTCAGCCCTGTGTTCCTGGCTGTGCAGTGATGCCCACCCTTTACTGAACACTCAGCAAATCTGCTGCAAAAGACCTCTTTAACATATTAAAAAGCAAAGATGTCACTTTGAAGACTTAGACGCCTCAGCCAAGCCATGGGATTTTCAATCACCTCAGATGCATGGGAGAGCTGGACAATGGATAAAGAAGACTGAAGAAGAATGATGCATTTGAATTGTGGTGCTGGTGAAGACTATTAAATACACCGTGGACTGCCAGAAGAATGAATAAATCTGTCTTGGAAAAAGTACAGCCAGAATGTTCCTTAGAAGTGAGAATAGCTAGACTTCATCTCTAGAACTTTGGTCATGTTATCAGAAGGGACTAGCACCTGGAGAAAGGACATTTTGCTTGGTAAAGTAGAGGGTCAATGAAAAAGAGGAAGGCACTCAACAAGATGGATTGACACAGTGGCTGCAATCATGGGCTCGAGCACACCAACAGTTGTGAGGATAGCAGTGTTTCATTCTGTTGTACAAAGAGTCACTGTTAGTGGAAGCCAAGTCAACGCCACTTAACAACATCATGCCAGGTGCTATGCTAAGTCCTCGGCACAGAGAACCACCCTGTGAGAAACTGAATCTCAGAGAAGTGTGCCAACTTGCCGAAAAGTCCCTCCGTTATTAAGCAGAGGAGCAAGGACTTAACATCAGATCCACTGGACCTTGAAGCCTACAGAAGACATACTATATTCGGCTGCAACCTTATGTTCAGCCTGCCCCAGAGCATATGCATTTCTTAGCTGCCCCTTACTTCTTACTCACCAACCCATGCAAGCCTGCTCCTCCTCCAGCTCCCCATCTTGGTTATGAATACCCACTCAGGTGCCTACTGGAGTCACACTCAATCCTTCTAACTTACTCTCTGCCCATCTACTAAGGCCCAAGTCCAGTCAATTCTCCTACATCTCTCTCCCACCTGCACCTTCTCCCCAAGACTCCCAACTAGCCTTCCTCACCCCCTCTCCAACTCTACCACACATCCTGGCCAACATCCTCTCTGAACAGATCATCATCTGGCTGTCACCTGCCCTGCTCAGAACCTTGGACATCCCCCCAGCTGGCAAGGGAACGAAGCCTAAACTCCTTCACACAGCATATGAAACCCTGCATCATTCACACTCCAACTGTCTTGCAGCCCAGCTCCCGCCACCGCCCCCAAAGCAGACTCGACTCCAGCCCCACTGCACACGTGCAGCCTCCAGACCTCTGCTCACGCCACTCCCTTCCGATTCCTTCCCATCTCCCCTGGGCCGTTCACCAGCTCCTCCAGAACGGCTGCTCTCCCTTCCATCCTGGCCCTGGTAGACGTGCCTCCCCCTCTGGGTGCTCCTACAGCGACATGTGAGTACCCACCACGTGCCAGGCCCCAGAGATGGGAATAAAATGGTGAACAAGACGGCCCAGAACTAATGGCGCAAAGGTGCTGTGATACAGCTAACAGTCTCGACCTGCCTGTCCCGTAAGAGCGCCAGTCCCCCAAGGTCTCACTCAACTTTGCACCCCTGGTATCTACCACACATTCTAGTCTATTGTATGCAGGTAACACTTTTTACAAAAATAACTGACTCACTCAGAAAATCCCCCTAACAAGTCTGCCATCACCCCATCCAACTCTCAAAGACAACTAGGGCACAGGGGGAGAGGCTCTCAGCCCACATCTCTTACCTGGACCACCTGTCCATCGAAGTCCTGCATTCTGTGGACTTTGTGACTTTCACTGCAGCCGGAAGAAATTTGGGAAGAAGTAGGAGATACGGTCACGGTAAGCATTCTGCCATCCTGGCCTCCTAACTGGCTTGCTCCCACACACCCCCATTTCCGTGCCTTGGCTTCCTCTTGTGGCAACATAGTAACTGTTAGGGAAACTCTCAGGGCCAAATATAAACCAGAGTTTGGCCTAGGTATGAAATTAAAGACAACAAAACCCCTAGGCGGTTTTAATACATAGCTGGAGGTGAGAATGGTGTGTAGGGCCAATAGTACGAGAACCAGAGAGAAATTTTTTAAAAGACTAAAATGAAGAGGATTGAAATGAAGAGGAATTATTGAAGTTAATCAAGTTGATAAAAATTAACTTTTAAAAGCCCATTACGTAGGTTTGCTGGTCTAACAGAGCCTGGTGGAACCACTGAGACTATGGCCCCTAGCTGCCCTTCAGGTCTGGAATTGAACCACACCTGTGGCTTCCAGCCAAACAAAAGACAGGTAGATGAGTTGAACATTTGCCTGAAGTAGACACACTCCGTGGAGAGATCAATCATGGAAGAAAGAAGAGCTGTGTATGCACAGGGAGACAGCTCAGGGGGCATGAATGCATGGAGGGATGGACACAGGGAAGAGGTAACTATGGGGAGGAACTAGGAAGGGAGCTGCTGCACTGGGGAAAACTGTGGTCAATGTCACAGGAAAAGTGCATGTGAACCGCTGTATGGAAAGTGAATTTGCTCTGTACACCTTCACCCAAATCACACACACACACAAAAGCCCATGAACTCAAAGTTCTGTGCATCACAGCCAGCACTGATCTTCTCTCCCCTCACACCAAGCTCATGTGAGGAGCTCAACGTGAAATGGAACAAAATTCTTCCCACCACCCCCTCACCCCAGGGAACCTCCTTTTGATTTAGGCTCTGTGGGCCTATCACGTGGTAACCACTAAGAAATCTGTAATGCCCAGCCCAGGAAGGGGAGGGACGTCTTCTTGGGAACTCACCTGTAAACTTCATTTTCAACCACCTTCCTTCCACACTGTCCGTAAGCATTGTTCCCCATGCTGAAGACTAAAGAACACCACCAGCATTAGATCAGTTCTGGGGCTTCCCTTGGACGTCAGAAATGGGAGGGGCAGCATCACTTCTCCAGCACGTCCAGCCTCTGGGCACACGTGCCAAGGCACAGAAGGGTCTAGACCTCCCACGGCCAGGCCAGGCTGTCCTGACCGCTCCCTCTGCTTTCTGCTCCGATTCTAGTTCTACCCCCCGTAATTTCTTATTACCAGGCTAACACCCTCCCAGGAAAGGCCTCGGACCCTACTCTCTGCTCGTCTCTATGTGGCCTCAAGGCCAAGTCCCCTCTTGAAAGGGCTCCTAATCACCACCCTTTGCCTCTTCCCACTTAGCTAGAAAAGGAAACTTTAAACATTGACTCAAGTTGGCCTTCCCCTGGAAGCAACTCCTTTATTTGAAAGGGGCTTTGTTACCCAGAAGCCTGGGCTCTGGAAGCCTCACACTTGGGAGGAAGGTTAGCACACAGGCTTCTTTCGGGGGAAACAGAAAACACAGCCTAGCAAGCGCGGCTGGTGACAGCACGGCCAAGGGAGCGGGTGACGAAGCTCCCTTTGGTACCAGGCCACTTTCAAATGCCGAGGATTTTCCGAGAACCACGGAGAACATAAAACAGTCATCGTGGTCTGCCCGGCACAGCTCTCCTGAGCAACCCTGCTGGTTTATGCGGAAATGCCAGGCTTCACGAATGAGACACGTGACTCAATCAAGGCTGCTGCCAGCAACAAAACGGGCCCCCGTCTCCATCAACCCTGAGTAAGTCACTCACCTCCTTCGCTGTTTGTCAAGATGAGAGAGTGGGCGCGGCCGCAGGAGACCTGTAGCACCTGCGTTTCCTGAGGTCTGTCCAGAGGCAGCGGGACAGCTGAGGGCTCCAGAACATACTCATACCCCCGACCTGAAAACACACAACCAAGATGGCTTCCTGTCGAGCATTTCACCCTGAGTTAAAGGGACAGCACTTCTGACACTGAAAATCATACTGTCCAACCACCACATCTTCACGCAGGAAGAACAGAGGGCCAGAGATGGGAAGGACTTACCCAGGCCCATAGGTCAGTGACAGAGCTAGGACTAGACCCCCGTTCCCTAGCTCCCAGCCCACTGTACCACAATGCCTCTGTTACACAATGTGGGTGACTGAAAAGCAAGGTCTTAGTAAAGGCATCTCTTCACATGGTATATCCTACTGTTTGAGTCTCTAAGGGCAGTGAAAGCATCTTCCTCCTGCAAAACCCACTGGAGTTCCCTAGTACGGTGAAGAACCGCATACGCTGTGTGATACCACTTAGAGTGTAAGGAGGCAAAAAGAACCCCTGCAATCAGGGTCACCAAACAAAATATGCACAAATGGAATTAATTTAAAAAAAAAAAAAGGATACTTGCACATGCAATAAATCTCTCTAGCAGGATAAACTGGGAACTATTAACACCAGGTTTTGCCTTCAGGGAGAAGAACCATGTGACTAGGGGACAGAGGTGGAAAGCAGACAGTTCACCATACACTCTACTGCCCCTTAAGAATTCCAAAGTACACATATGTTGTCTATTCAAAGCAGAAGTAAAATTTTAAATCTGGGTAAACATTCTTTCATTCCATGAACAAGGCCACCGCGCACCACAGGAACAGGAGCGTCTGTCCTGGAGCCCACCTGAGGAAGCCAGTACCTGACACTGCCATCTAATAGGTCGATTCTCCACACCCTTTGGGCAACTGTGAATTTCTTCTTGCCACAGAGACACAGGTGAATTTATGCCCCAACTGCTACTCCTTTAAGAAAGAGGGCCAGTTTGGTGAAAGTCATTTTAATAAGAAGCTCCTTAGTGTTCTCTGCAATCCTACCGGGAAAGCCAGATTGGCCTACATAGGGACTGATGCTGAGTAGGCTCTTAAACAATTATAATGTAAGTTGAGACTAAGGTGCACTGGTCCTCAACTTCCTCCCCACAAATGATGCCTCCATTTTCTGCCATGGACCACATGTTTAAACAGATTTTGTCTCCCAATTAATGGCACTGCTAGTGTTACAATAATACATTCACCCATTTGTACTCATTAGCGACTGACAGATTTCTCTGACAGAGCTTTGATCGGCATAACTGGTATCTTACAATGAGATGCGATTCTAGGCAAAATCAAAGACACTGGACAGAGCTGTTAGCTTCTGCAGCCCTGCCTTATTAGATGATAACACACAGTCCTCGAAAAGAGTCAAGTGACTTCCAGCTCCCATGATCATCTTCACAGACCCCCAAGGCCCTAGGAACCCAGAATGCACCGCATTAAAGGCAATCTGGCTCAAAGGCAGTGAGAACGGAGGCACAGTGTGAAGAATGTGATCAGCGGCACGGAGCTGTGCGTGTAGGGCCTTGGACTGGTGTACGTTTTTGCCGTGTATATTCTCTACAACAAACAAATTACTGATGAAATGTCAAATGGCACTACAGAAATACATCAGTCTACTCCAGACTAGAAAATTCCACAAGATAAATGCTAATTTCTTCAACAAATACATTTCAATGAAAAACGGTTCCAATCAGTGGACTAATCAACCAACTGCAATGTGTGGAGCTCGTCTAGATCGTGATTTAAAGAAATTATATATTTTTAAAAAATCTAACGGCATGTATGAGACAAGTGGCGATCTGAACCCTGGCCATTCAATGATATGAAGGCATTGTATTGTTAACTATTTCTAGGTGTGCTAATAATATTGGGGTTATTTTTTTAAGAGTGCTTTTTTTTTAGCTATGTACTGAAATATTAGTGAAGTATACACTATCATATATTAGTGAAATATAAACCCCCCCCAAAAAAACAAAACAACTAAACTCACTGGCGTCGAGTTGTTTTGACTCATAGCAACCCCTCCTTGGGTTTCTGAGGTGGTATCTCTATGGAAGTAGATTTCCCAGTCTTCCTTCCACAGGGTGGTTGGTGGGTTTGAACCGCCAGCCTTCTGGTTAGCAGCCATATGCTTTAGGCACACCACCACTAGAGCTCCCTAGTGAAGTATATACTACTATAAATTGTATGAAATTACATCTTCATATGAACAAAGGAAAACGAAAAAAGCGGAAAGGTTTGGGTAATTTCCCCTTCTTGTCAAAAAAAAAAGTTTATTACTGTTCTTGTACTATTATTTGGCTTACTTTTTAAAAATCATTATAAATTACGTCTAACACTTTTACCATCCAGATCTTCAACCTTCAGAATAATGCCTCCATCTAGAGGTGCCTATTTAACTTTTTCCCCCAAGTCTATAGCCCACGCAATCCATAGCCTAAGTATTTCAGGTTGCCTCCAAGCTAGGAAACAAAAGGGACATTTTCTGCCCAAAAGGAACATCTTCACTTCTCAGCAGAAGCCAGGGCCTTGTCCTGTGTCTGAAGGTTCAACGTTATTACCAAAGCCGCTGAAAACCATCTAGTTCAAATGGTTTCAAACAATGTGCCTTGCAGAATCCGTCTGTTGCCGCGGTTTAGTTTATGTGATCACATCCTGAAAAGTAGAGCGAGTTTACTCAGGCCCATCACAGCAGAGCAAAGCCAAGGGCAGGACACTCACTTTTATCTTTCCGGCTCTTGTGAAATCCAAGTTGAGAGTCTCTGTTGAGGCCCATACCCCAGACTTTCGTAATATCCTTCGTTTGGGAGGACAGCAATGTGAATCCATAGCCACAGGCAGCAGACGAAATCTGAAAAGAATCCGTATAAAGCATCAATCCATTTGTGATAGCAAGCCATTCCAGCAACTGACAAGTTATTTACCAAATCCAAGACCATATAGTGTTAACAGAACAACTACGATTTATTGAGCACTTACTGTGTTGTTGGAATCATATTACATTAATCTTCACAATCCCTCTGTGAAGTAGGTATTATTACCATCTCTATTCCGCAAGAGAACAGGTAAGGGCACAGACTGACTGAGTGTGACCATTGGCATCTTGGCTGTCCTCCTCACCAGCTATGTGACTTGGAAAAATAGTTAACCTTTATGCCTGTTCCCTTCTGTCTAAAATTGAGTAATGGCATCCCTCCCTCTCATAGAGTTGATATGAGGACTAGATGAGTTAACACAGCTAAAGCCTTTAGAGTAAATGATGTTAGGACAACTGGATAGCCACATGCAAAAAAGATGAACTTAGACCCTTACCTCACACCACACATAAAAAAAATTAATTCAAACTGGCTCACAGACCTAACTGTAAGAACTAAAATTACAAAAATTCTAGAAGAAAATATAAGGGAAAAAATTATTGTGACCTTGGCTTAGGCAAAGATTTCTTAGATACGATACCAAAAAGACAATCCTTAACAGAAAAAGTGACACAAAAAATTTCATCAAAATTAAAAACGTTTGCAATTCCAAAGACACTACGAAGAAAATTAAAAGCCACAGATGGGGAGAAAAATATTTTCACATATGCAATAAAAGGCGTGTATCCAGAATATATAAAGTATTCCAGAATATATAAAGTATACTTACAACTCAATTATTAAGAAGGCAAATTACCTAACTCTTTACTCATCTGGAGCTTAAATTCCCTATTTCTCTTGATCTCCATATTCAACTTAATGATCTTTTGTTTGCTTGTTCCCTTGAGAGATAAGTCTGATTTGTCTTCTTTTTTTTGTCACCCATCAAGATTTCCACACCACTCCCAGGCAAGAGCCCGATGCCATGCGTCCATTTTCAATCTGCTGAGTCGTGGCTCCCCAGATCAGCTGCCCTCGGGCTGGGCTCCTTCGCTGTCACCTTTTCAGATCTGAGCTCAACTGGAGACATCCAATGCAACCATTCTAGTGCATTCAGGCACCTCATCCCCTCTGTCATTCCTGTCACTGCGCAGATGACAATTCTTATCCGAGGACTCACACGGATCCAGCCGACTCACACGGTCTCTGAGCTCTTGAAATCTGGTTTCTTAACCTGAGAACTCGGGAGCTCTGGTAGCGTAGTGCCTAAAGGACTTGACTGCTAACCAGAAGGCTGGCAGTTCAAACCCACCAGCCACTCCTCGGAAGGCAGATAGGGCAATCTACTTCCGTAGTGATACTGCCTCAGAAACCCAAGAAGGGGTCGTTGTGAGTTGGGTGCGACTCGACGGCACATAACAACAACAACAACCTGAGAACTGGAGTGCGAACCCACAGGACGCCCACCTACCTACCAGCTGTACGGCCTCGGGCCTGTCCCTTAACCTCTCAGAGCCTCCCTCTCCTCCACCTATGAGTGACAACTCCCGACTCTCAGGACGTCGCGCCATTGACCCGAGCCCCGCACACCCGGCACGTCCCCAGCCCCCACCCCCGGGCTTGCAGCCAGCTTAGGGATCTTCTTCCCAGAAACGTGGCTCCCTGGAAGGTCGAGTGCCCTGGAAGGACTGAGGGTGTCGGGAAAGTAGAAGACGGGAGGGGGCCGCGGCGCGCACCTTTTGATCAAGCTCCAGGCGGTAGGGCACAGACTGGATCCGGCGGCGCGGCCGCAAGCCGGCGCCGGGCTCCGGTCCGGAACTGGGTACCACGAAGGTAGGCACGCCCAGCGCGCCAGAAAAGCTGAAACCCCACACGAAGATGCGGTCGGCGCGCGCCGCGCGCTCGCCCACGTACTGGAACACGGGCGCATCGGCCTCGGCCTCCGCAGCCTCGCGCCGGCTCCGCGAGCGCCCAGCCGCCGTCCAGTGCCCTCGCCCCGGCCCCAGCCCGCTCAGCCGCCGCCCCAGCCGAGCGCCCGCCGCCAGTGTCGCCAAAGCCATTCTTCGCTTCTAGCCCTAGCAGCTCCTGGACGCCGCCATCTTGCCTGACCCCTGACCTCACGCCCCGGCGGAAGAGGCCGCAGCCACGTTTACTACTGGCTGAGGGCAAAGGCGCCGAGGGCTTCCTCGTGCCAGGAGGCTAGGCACCTTGGAGCTGGACGCCTGGTTTCCTGAATGAGCGGACCAGGAGGCCTGGGCCAGCTGACCTAGTGGGCGTCTGCGCGCTCAACGCACGTCTACTGAGCATCTTCCCTGGGTCGCTTCTTGTCTGTCAGGCAGTTGTTGTTGTTGTTAAGTGCCCTCGAGTCGTTTCCAACTCATAGCGACCCCATGCACACTGCCCGATCCCGCGCCAGCCCCACAATCCCTGCTATACTTGAGCCCATCATCGCAGCCACCGTATCGCTGTCAGGCAGTGGTGAAACTTAAAGATAGCCCACTTGGCGAAACTCAGAGCAGTGCTCACCCTGAGCCAGCTTAACTCCCTGTGCTGCTGTTCTTTGTCGTTTGTTACCTGGTTTTGTTGCAGGCCCCCTTCCCACGCCCCGGTCCCATCCCTATCAGCAATTCATCCTCCAGTGGAAAGGAATTAGAGTGTAACTCTTACTGATGTCTTCCTCTCAGAGTCCCTCCTGCCTTCTGTTGTACCTTTTCCAGGAGTCTTCGCTCCTCGGGCCTTCACTCCAATGGACTGAGACGTTTCTGCTTGCAACTTCAGCTCTTCTCCTTTTGCACCTAGTACCTGGAGTGCCCATTCCACTGCCTTCTGCTCCAGACGTCCGGCAGACTCCTGGTCGTCCTCAGATCCAGCTGAAGCATCTCCTTTGAGGTTCCTTGAAAGCAGGAACTTCCATTAATTCAGATTCTCCTCACCAAGTACTTCTGGGGTTGAGAATCCACCACCGTCTGTCAGTTGGTCATGCTGTGGGGGCTTGCATGTTGCTATGATGCTGGAAAGGATGACATTGGTATTTCAAATACAGGCAGGGTCACCCGTGGTGGATAGGCTCCAGCCGAGTTAACAGACTACTTAATCTACTTCAGAAAATTAGTCAATGAAAACCCACCAGGGCACAAGTCTTGGTCTAAGGCTCTGTTTTTTGGGAGGACACAAGCTGAAAGAGTTCGTACCAGAAGTGGGGAATACTGTTCACTGAGCCAAGCACATGGTCCAACCATAACTACCGTGTCAGGTACAGTATTTGACTGGAACAGATCAACACAACTTCTGGGCCTTATGGTGGGATACTGATCGGGTGCGTGGGTACTTTTCAATCCCATCATTAAAGCCAGAAAAATAAACTCACCGGCATCAAGTTGATCCTGACTCATAGGGACCCAGGAGGACAGAGCAGAAGTGCCCCATAGGGTTTCCTAGGCTGTAAATATTTACAGAAGCACACTGCCTTATCCTTCTCCTGAAGAGCAGCTGGTGGGTTCAAACCGATGACCTTTTGGTTAGCAGCCGAATGGAATGCTTTAATCCCTGCACTACCAGAGCCCGTTCCCATCAGTAAAGAAGGTCAAGAAAGCAGTTTCCCTCTGCATAGGAAGAACTGAGGTGCTCACTAACTCTCCATGCTGTCTCACTCCTGATGCCTCCCAAAAAAGTATCTGTGTAGAAGACATTATCTCAGGCTCTGCCTTTATCAATAAAACTAATAAAGAACAATCACGTAAGTATTGTGGAAGGGAGCAGTCGGAACCCAGCCTGCTGCCTTTCCCTATGACCCACCAATGAACCTTGTGCTTAGGACCAGATGTGTTGGCCTGGCCACTTGGATGGGCTTAGAGTGTGGCTGACTCATTTTCCCAGGGCATCTTGACCCAAAAACACATTACACAGCAGCTGGTGACCTGTCCGCACATCCCTCCCCTCTTGCCCTGAGCACATATCAACATTCCCAGGAACTGCTTAGCCAAGTGTGTCCATTAGATGGCACCTGGCCAAACTCACTTCTGTATCTGTTCTCCATGGGAAGGAAACGGGTTATCTCAACTGTAGCATAAGAGGGGTGCATGCAGACCTCCAGTCCTGCATCAGCTGTGGAGAGTGACTTCCTGAGCATGGGGGACCAATATGCATTATTGAAACTGACCTTGCTGTCTCTTCTTTATGTGAGTGAGCTTTCCAGTTGGTGCTTTTGTGTAAGTCACGTATTTCTTGGTGACCTTGGACCTTGGCTCGACAAATATTCTTGATATATTGATGGAACCTTTATATACTTATGAAATGTGTGTCCAGTTTTCACCTGTCCTTTCATAAGCAGGAGTGTCCTTTCCTCTGTTGTGACCTAATTTTTTTTTTTTTAATTGTGATTTGGGTGGAAGTTTACAGAACAAATTAATTTTCCATACAGCAGTTCATATACATTTTGTTTCATGACACTGACTACAATCCCAAAATATAATACCTCTCTCCCTACTCTCTCCCCGTAGTTACCTTTTCCCTGTGTCCTTCTTTCCTATGCATTCCTGCCTTCTGAGCTTTTTCCTTGAGCAAATACAGTCCTTCTGATCTCCTATGGTCAATTGTTCTAAGGAGTATACCTACCTGGTATATAATTTTGGGGTTTTGAGTGTCTTCTACAAACTGGTAATGATGGTGAATAAAATCTGTAGATAAAACTCCGTACTTGTCAAAATAAAATACTGACCATTTTATGTAGTTGTCCAAAATTTCTAGAACTTTTACTTTGCATGCCAAACCAAACTCACTGCCCTTGAGTCTATCCAACAAAGTGTATGTGAACTGCTATATGGAAAGTGAATTTGTAAAGTTTCATCCAAATCACAATTAAAAAAAAAAAAAAAAAACCTAAACTCATTGCCGTTGAGTCGTTTTGACTCATAGCAACCCCTCCTTGGGTTTCCTAGGCAGCATCACTACAGAAGTAGATTGCCCAACCTTCTTTCCGAGGAGTGGCTGGTGGTTCAAACCACCTGGTTAGTAGTCCAGTGCCTTAGGCACTACGCCACCAGAGCTCCTATTTTGCATAAGGGGCATCCAAAAGACTGGAAACCACTGGTTGGAGGTTGGGGAGGAAAGGGTGCAGTGACCAGCGCTGCAATGTAAATTACAGCCACTGGGTGGCAATGCTGACCTGTTTATTTTGTGACTCCTGCTTCTATGGAAAGGAGCTCTGATGGTACAGTGGTTAAAACTTTCAGAAGCTAACTAAAAGGTCAGCAGTTCGAACCCACCAGCCACTCCATGGGAAAAAGATGAAGCAGCTCTGCTTCCGTAGAGATTGACAGCTTTGGAAACCCTATTGGGCAGTTCTACTCTGCCCTGTGGGGTCACTATGAGTCGGAATCAAATTGATGGCAGTGGGTTTGTGTTTGGGCTCATATAGAAATAGGAAACACCACCCAAAAATAGGTTTTGGCCAATGGAGAGTTGGGTTATATGGACACAACTGGGCTTTTCTATTTGATTATCAAAACCTGATTGGTTTTCTAGACTGGCTGTGTGCTGTCAAACACTTGCATTTTTGCTTTGAAAAAATGGTCCTCCAGCAAAATGTCAGCTGCTCCAAATCAGCAAAAGGTTTGCTCGGGTTGTTGATAGCGGCCCTTGAGTCAGTTCCCAGCTTGTGGTGACCCCATGTGCTCCACAGGGTTTCAATAGCTGTAATCTTACACAGCACATTGTCAGGCCTTTCTTCTGCAGTGCTGAAGGGTAGATCTGAACCTTTCAGACACTCTCCAAACATAAACCATAGTGCACCCCACCCAAAGACCTTTGCCAATGTTGTTGTTGTTGTTAGGTGCCATCAGTCAGCTCTGACTCATAGCAACCCTACATACAACAGAACGATACGCTGCCCAGTCCTGTGCCAGCCTCACAAGTCTTGCTATACTTGAGCCCGTCATTGCAGCCACTGTGTCAATCTATCTCGTTGAGGGTCTTCCCCTTTTTCACTGACCCTCCACTTTACCAAGCATGACATCCTTCTCCAGGAAATGGTCCCTTCTGACAACATGACCAAAGTAGGTGAGTTGAAGTTTGGCCATTCTAGCTTCCAAGAGGCATTCTGGCTGCACTTTTTCCAGGACAGATTTGTTAGTTTTTCTGGAAGGCCATAGGACTTTCAGTATTGTTCGCCAACACCACAACTCAAAAGCATCAACTCTTCTTCGGTCTTCCCTATTCATAATCCAGCTTTCACATGCATATGAGGTGATAGAAAATACCATGGCTTGGGTTAGGGGTACCTTAGTCTTCAAAGTGACATCTTTGCTCTTCAACACTTTGAAGAGGTGTTTTGCAGCAGATTTGCCCAATGCAATATGATGTCTGACTTTTTCTTATTTGGTGTGTCTGTGTGTGTGTGCGTTTAAAGAAAATGGAATACTGTATGTGTACCTGCAACGTCCTCTTTTCACATAAACTATCATGACATAGGGTTGCTGGGCGTCCGAGCCCACTTGACAGCACCTAACAACAGCATCAACATTCTGGAGATGTTTCTATGTCGATTTGTTCAGACCACCTCATTCTTTCTCACCATTACGTATTAGTATGAATAAACCACATCTCATGGGACCACTATTCTTTCGGTAAGTATTTGGGTTACATCTGTTCTTTTCCTGCTACAATATTACAACAAATATTCTTGTGCATGGTTTTCTGTGCATCAGGGTAGGACGTCTCTTGAGTAAATACTGCAGGATCATGGAAAATGCTCATTTTTTAATTTTAATGGATGTTTTCAATTTGTTCTTCAAACGCTGTACTTCAGTAATCTTTGAGAAGATTCATTCTCCAAGTGTTCAGCAACCCACAGTGCAGACTGTCTGCCAATCTGGTAACTACAACGTAACAGTGGCCTCAGTTATATTTCAGTATCTCCAGGAAGGTTGAACATCTTGTATTTACCCACATTTCAGGATCCCTTTCCTGGAAGTTGCCTTCTTATTCATGTCCTTGGCCATGTTCCTATTGGGTTCTTTTTTTTATTACTTTGTAGGAATGCTGATATATTCAGAGGGAAACACTCTGTTATATGTGAAAATATTTTCTCCTGGCTTTTTACTTTATTTATTATGTTTTTTTTTTCCCCCAATAATCGAGATTTGGGTGAAAGTTGACAGAGCAAATTGGTTTTGCATTCAACTA